AGGAAGTAAAGATGCTACCAGCTGCAGGCTGTGGGATTGTGTGTATTTTACAGTATTTTACTACTCTAAAAGAAATGTGAAGTCCATTGCAAATTACTTTATTCCATGTGCAACTATGATAGAAAGGGTTATTTTTAGGACATATCCTACAGGGCGTACCTCCGGTACAGCCATGTATACAGGAGGGTAACAGCTAATGCAGGAATGCACCCTCACGTCCACTAAAGTGTCCTGAAATCATGAAATGTTCACAGCAAAATAAAATCTTGTGAAGTATTTGAGATTGCTACACATGAAGAAGTATGACTGCTATGTTGACACACACACATCTATTACAAAACTGCCAAATAATTCCTAAGTTAATCTAAGCAACATAGGCTCAGCATCAAACATCAACAAACTCATGTACTTCAAACAGGACTGTAATAATCAGCTTCAACCCACATCAAGCTGCCATGCTGTAACTCCTGACAGCTGGTGGTGCATCAGGCCAACAGGAAACTCATTCTAGATTGACCATTTCAACTGTACTACGTTGGTAGTTCATTTTGAGAGTGTAAAAAATTCTGTTCAAAATAGAAATTTCGTGTTAAACCTAGGGAAACATCTAACCTATTCTGTCCATAGTGATGGCAATGACAAAGCAAGGCATATTTAACACATGAATTTTAATGTGTAACAGATATACATTTTTCTCCTCCCTAATTGTGTGTCCTGTGGTATAGACTCTCACAGGATGCAGCAGCTGATGTGGTAGAGGGAGACAACTCCTTCATGATTTACTTCCATGCTATCCAGCAGTATCTCTATCGATCTGGAGCTGATGTTCCTTCTGTAGTTCCAGACACCATAATATATAGTTGTGGAAGCATAAAAATAAGTTTAGGTGCAGATTTTGTCTGCAGGTTTTCCTGTCAATAATATAAGTGTGCATAAACAGTGTCACGAGGGGAACATGTGGCTTTATGTGTCCGGCGAGTGGTATAAAACCTAACAAAGGATACCCAAAATCACATGTACCCCTCGTGATACTGCCACAATGAATTTATTTCAATGACATGTTTCAATCTGCCATTGTAAAGGAATTCAAACTAATTACAAATTGACAGATAACAGCTGCTCTATTGAGCTGAGGTTAACCTGTGCTGTGTCACATGACTTTCACTGACTTGGAAAAAACATGCAGACTTTTGATTCAAAACGGGGTTTAAGGGATTTATTCAGAAATCCACGTTGGGTTATAAGGATCTGTTCTCTTGCTCAGATATTTATTGCCATTCCAGGCGTGATACATTGTATTTTATGAAGATCAATTTAACCAATCAGATCTGAACATTCTGACATGGAGGTATGATAAGGAGGCTTATTTATGACTCCTCAGAAAGGCATACAAAGCTGTAACTGCCTGAATAATCATTGCAATCCTTTCCCTACGAAGTCCGCCTATTTGAAAACCACCCCCTGGAGTACAGTCAGTCGCCAGTAACCTTTGCTTGTCGTAAGAGTAACTAACATGGTCAAGTGGTCGGGCATTGTGACTTGGCTGATCAGCGGGAATCATTGCTCCTGCTATCTACCCTTGGTTTGCCTTTCCACAAACTGATTATGTACAGGCCACCATGATACAGCTGAATTAGTAGCAATAACTAGTATGGAAACCAACATCCACTCACTCCATCACATGATGTTTCAGTGGTTATGCACACTGGGCTTTCCTCCAGCTTTCAGCTTACATGCCATCCCTCACACCAGTCCTCTGCCAGCTGTACCAGTATGTGCAGGGACTGTCCTCATATCATCATCTTTATAAGTCTTCCTTCATTCTGAACAGCTTCAAACATGGTCACAAGTTTTATAGCAGGGGCACTGCAAAAGTAAGATTCGTCTGTGTTTTTGCATATTGTGATTTTAGCCTAAACATATTCACCCAAGCATATGTGTAAATGATACTTGAATCAGTGTCATTCAAATACAACCTTGACATCAATGTTATTTGGCCCTAATGCAAGTGGATGTTTATAATATCTTTAATTGATTTATGCATTTTTGAGTTTTACCAAAAAATATTATTTGGGAGTGATCAATGAAGAATCTGAATGCCTAGTATGTTGGTAGTTAATTGATTTACATGTGACCAGGCATGGGTTGGGGCAAGTGGGCATGGGTTGGGGCAAGTGGGCATGGGTTGGGGCAAGTGGGCATGGGTTGGGGCAAGTAGGCATGGGTTGGGGCAAGTGGGCATGGTATGGGGCAAGTAGGCATGGGTTGGGGCAAGTGGGCATGGGTTTGGGCAAGTAGGCATGGGTTGGGGCAAGTGGACATGGGTTGGGGCAAGTGGGCATGGGTTGGGGCAAGTGGACATGGGTTTGGGCAAGTAGGCATGGGTTGGGGCAAGTGGGCATGGGTTGGGGCAAGTAGGCATGGGTTGGGGCAAGTGGGCATGGGTTGGGGCAAGTAGGCATGGGTTGGGGCAAGTGGGCATGGGTTGGGGCAAGTGGGCATGGGTTGGGGCAAGTGGGCATGGGTTGGGGCAAGTGGGCATGGGTTGGGGCATGGATCATTGCTTATACTATCTGTCACCAGTTGTACATGGTCTATGCTCATTTCCTTCCAAACTGCCTTGGTGAAGAATTGAGTACTAAGTGTGAAACAACACTCACTCACTCACTCACTGACTGCAGACTGCCTTGATGAAGCATTGCGGACTGCTGACATAAGCGTGAAACAACATTGATTCATTCACTGACTACAGATTGCCTTGATGAAGCCTTCTGTATTGCTGACATAAGTGTGAAACAACATTCACTCACTGACTACAGACTACCTTGATGAAGCATTGTGTATTGCTGACATAAGCGTGAAACAACATTCACTCACTGACTACAGACTGCCTTGATGAAGCATTGTGTATTGCTGACATTAGTGTGAAACAACATTCACTCACTGACTACAGACTGCCTTGATGAAGCATTGCGTACTGCTGACATAAGCGTGAAACAACATTGATTCACTCACTGACTACAGACTGCCTTGATGAAGCATTGCGTACTGCTGACATAAGCGTGAAACAACATTGATTCATTCACTGACTACAGATTGCCTTGATGAAGCATTGTGTACTGCTGACATAAGCGTGAAACAACATTCACTCACTGACTACAGACTGCCTTGATGAAGCATTGTGTACTGCTGACATAAGCGTGAAACAACATTCACTCACTGACTACAGACTGCCTTGATGAAGCATTGTGTATTGCTGACATTAGTGTGAAACAACATTCACTCACTGACTACAGACTACCTTGATGAAGCATTGTGTATTGCTGACATTAGCGTGAAACCTCACTCACTCACTCACTCACTCACTCACTCACTCACTCACTCACTCACTCACTCACTTGATGGACTCTACTGGTTATGTTGGCTAGCCTGTGGGCCTCCAGGGCAGCACTTCATACACACATCCTTATTAGTTATTACAGCCTGTTATTAATTTGTTTTAGTTATACACATGTGGCTGTATCACAGCCTCACACTGGAAGTAGTGTTCACATGGAAAATACTGTGGAACTATATAGTTGTTTCCCTTTGCACACCAAACCACTCTAGTATTGACGTCGTGGGTTTCCGCAGCCAAGTTTATGATGTGTGAGTTGTGTGTTTGTCAGTACCAAGTTGCTGCATTGTGGTGGTATGGATGCAGGCATGTCACTTGGGCCAGCTGTTGCCATCGGCTGTGCAGCTTCATAATTACACCTACGTAAACAGGCCAACCTGCGTAATGGAGGCATTGTGACCAACATTACATGGAAACGATCAATGCCGTCTTTGAGTTCTTTTGGGTTTTCATCTATTTTTTCTTTCAACTGATTAATCAATTTTCATTCTTGTGTATGTTGATAGTCTCTCATATAGATTAAATGTTATGTTCTTTTGGTACATATACCTTGGATTCACATTTCATTGATCGATAGTGCAATATGGAGTTTAGTGGTCTAAACTGTCATTGTGTTTATGGTGGGGGATCTCCTATTTTGACTCAATTTCACAAGTGTATCTTTTTGTTATATGTTAATTTGACGTTTTATATGTAGATTACTTTGGAATAATGATTCATTAATGTATGAAGTATTTGTATATGTGAATCTGGTATGTATATAGAAACCTGATAACTAGTAGGAATAGAGGTTCAAATATCAGTTTTTGATACAATTTTCATTTTGGACCAGCAATTGCTCATGTTCACTTTGAGAATATTCCTAGTGATGTAAGCCTAGTGGTGGGTTTGTGAAGACATACATGGAAGAACTGATTACATGTGTTATCAGTTACATCCATGCTGTTCATGAGCCAACAGCAGCAGGAAGGGGCATATCAGTTACACTCATACCTCCTATCTCCCGCTGCACCATCTGCTGTAGGTACACATACTGTTTAACTCCTAATTTGATTAATGGTTGTACAACATACTTGGAAAATAGCAAGCAGAAATTCTGCATATCACTGAGATGTGTTAACTGCCTGATATACTAAGTTTGGCTGAGAACAGAAGCTAGATGAACATCCTGAAAAATACCCTGGTAAGTTAATCATCTGCTTCCAATTAGACAATTAGTCTGCAGTGTCAACACTTTACCCCAGCCATTACTACCAGGCAGTGGTATATGTACATACATTACATTGTAGCCCTGAAATTACAGCCTCTAGTTATCTCACAGCTGCTTGTGTGCTGACTGAGGCAACTTGTGTGCACTGGGCTAGGATGCCTAAATGTCACACCAACCATTCTGTCATATTATAGCAGAATCATTCATTGGCAGGTCATAAAAGAATGTACACGGTATTGAAAGCAGTTTGATATAAGAGCATTCAGTATGACCGACAGCTGACGATGGGAATAATAAAACATTGTTATGCATGAGTGGCAGAATAGAAAAGAGAATTTATTGACAAATGTAATTGAAACAAGTGACGTAAATGATTTCCAGTAGAATATGAGAAATGCTGGAACATGTGTATGTGAGATTGGGGAGTGTTGTCTGGTGCCTTCCACAGAGACAAGTCATATACTAAAGACACCAGGGATAAAATCAATGAGAGTTAACGTCCTAGATGAAACATTCACCAGAAGTTTATGGCTGAAATGTTTCTGGAAGAGTGACAGCACATCTAAGAGACTACCATTGAAGAAAACTGACAGTTAGTGAATCAAGGTGATGGGTTGCAGTGGAGAATCCTTGGATGTTGTAATTACTACCAGGGTTTGTGATGGTCACACTGTCTGACCAGCAGGAGATAGTTGTGGCTGCTGTGTGTATGAAAACGTCAGGTAATGATACACTGTGATGGATGGGTTTACTACAAGTACCTACTGTTAAATGAACAACTGACCCTTCTTGGACCAGAGTGATATATCAGTGCTTATTCTATTGAGCTAACTGCATGTTAGTTACCATATTCACAGTCTCTCGGCGCTATATGCTGCTGCAGTAGTGTATGGTATGTCACTGTGGTATAGTTCCATCTGCCGCATGTTTGATCTTTACATGTACATAGTACTTTGGTGTGACCAACATTCCAGGGAGTAGGCCCCTTGAACACTAATTGCTTGGAGCAGTGTACTTCATGACTGATCAGGAAGGCCTATTGGTGAATCTTCAGCAATCATCTGCTGATATGCTGTGTTTTGAGGGTCACTGGTGTTAGTTAAGACATAGAACAGATGGCAAATTTAAGAGGCCTGTTAAGCATGAGAACTTAATTGTGTGGACTCTCGAGGAGGATTGCGTACTTCACGGATAATGATAACCCAGTCCAACATCACTGATTAACATGGTTTTCTCAAAGAAGAAGAAAAGCAAGGAGGAAGGGAGTGCGTCTTCCTCCACCAAGGCAGCTAATGATGTCGATTCTGGTGGGGCTGATGAGCTGGATGCGGTGCCAGATGATGAACCCAGAAAGAAAATGCCAAAGAAGTTTGCCAGTGGTTCCAGCAGCCAGCGCAGCAGAGATCTTCTGGACCCAAACAAACCTCTCCATCTACAGGTGGGCAGGGCTTCAGGGCCGGGGTAGGAAAGGGAGTGTGTTCTGAGGTTATTGTCTCTGGGTTACTATTGTGGGCCAAAACACTGATGCCATTTGATACTGTGTTAGTATTAGTATGACCTCCTGCCTCCTGAATTACAAAGTTAGTGTTTTGTTTGGCATGATGTCCAGGTTAACAGTACCCCCTCAGTCAGAGTACAGCTGGTGGGGGGCAGGGAGTTGTCACATCTTTTCAAACAAGGTTTATGTGGATATTTTAGTGACTGGTTGTGTACTTTTGAGAAGTGTTGCTTATCAGAACAGTCATGTTATTACGTATTTCATTACTGTCAATATGTGGTGTTGTATTGATCTCATTTGTTTCAACCATTGTAACTGTCATTAAACTGTTAATATGTGAGGAAGTTGTTAACCTCTATGTGTAGTAGTTGTAACTGTGATGTAGTGGTTAACTTTATTTGTAGTAGTGGTTAACTGTATGTGTAGTAGTTGTTAACTGTGATGTAGTGGTTAACTGTATGTGTAGTAGTTGTTAACTATGTGTAGTAGTGGTTAACTGTGATGTAGTGGTTAACTGTATATGTAGTAGTTGTTAACTGTGATGTAGTGGTCAGCTGTGATGTAGTAGTTAACTGTGATGTAGTTAACTGTATGTGTGGTAGTTGTTAACTATGATGTAGTGGTTAACTGTGTGTGTAGTAGTTGTTAACTGTATGTGTGGTAGTTGTTAGCTGTGATGTAGTTGTTAACTGTGTGTGTAGTAGTTGTTAACTGATGAAGTGGTTAACTGTATGTGTAGTAGTTCTTAACTGATGAAGTGGTTAACTGTGTGTGTAGTAGTGGTTGACTGTATGTGTAGTAATGGTTAACTGTATGTGTAGTAGTGGTTAACTGATGAAGTGGTTAACTGTGTGTGTAGTAGTGGTTAACTGTGATGTAGTGGTTAACTGTATATGTAGTAGTTGTTAACTGTGATATAGTGGTTAACTGTATGTGTAGTAGTGGTTAACTGTGATGTAGTGGTTAACTGTATATGTAGTAGTTGTTAACTGTGATGTAGTGGTCAGCTGTGATGTAGTAGTTAACTGTGATGTAGTTAACTGTATGTGTGGTAGTTGTTAACTATGATGTAGTGGTTAACTGTGTGTGTAGTAGTTGTTAACTGTATGTGTGGTAGTTGTTAGCTGTGATGTAGTTGTTAACTGTGTGTGTAGTAGTTGTTAACTGATGAAGTGGTTAACTGTATGTGTAGTAGTTCTAAACTGATGAAGTGGTTAACTGTGTGTGTAGTAGTGGTTAACTGTATGTGTAGTAGTGGTTAACTGTATGTGTGGTAGTTGTTAACTGTGATGTAGTGGTCAGCTATGGTGTAGTAGTTAACTGTGATTTAGTTGTTAACTGTATGTGTGGTAGTTGTTAACTATGATGTAGTAGTTAACTGTGTGTGTAGTAGTTGTTAACTGTATGTGTGGTAGTTGTTAACTATGATGTAGTGGTTAACTGTGTGTGTAGTAGTTGTTAACTGTATGTGTGGTAGTTGTTAGCTGTGATGTAGTTGTTAACTGTGTGTGTAGTAGTTGTTAACTGATGAAGTGGTTAACCGTATGTGTAGTAGTTCTTAACTGATGAAGTGGTTAACTGTGTGTAGTAGTGGTTGACTGTATGTGTAGTAGTGGTTGACTGTATGTGTAGTAGTGGTTAACTGTGTGTAGTAGTTGTTAGCTGTGATGTAGTGCTTAACTGTGTGTGTAGTAGTTGTTAGCTGTGATGTAGTGGTTAACTGTGTGTGTAGGAGTTGTTAGCTGTGATGTAGTGGTTAACTGTGTGTGTAGTAGTTTTTAGCTGTGATGTTGTGGTTAACTGTGTGTGTAGTAGTTGTTAGCTGTGATGTAGTGGTTAACTGTATGTGTTGTAGATGTTAACTGTATGTGTTGTAGATGTTAACTGTATGTGTAGTAGTTGTTAACTGTGATACAGTGGTTAACTGTATTTGTAGTAGTTGTTAAGTGTGATGTAGTGGTTAACTTTATGTGTAGTAGTGGTTAACTGTATGTGTAGTAGTTGTTAACTGTGATGTAGTGGTTAACTGTATGTGTTGTAGTTGTTAACTGTATGTGTAGTAGTTGTTAACTGTGATACTGTGGTTAACTGTGTGGTGGAGTGGTCAGCTGTGATGATGTTGTTAACAGTATAGTTAGCTGATGGGATGTAGGGCTCTTGACAGACAGGTGTTGTGATATAGCCTTATTGGACAGACAAGAAACTGAATTAGATATTAGATGGAATGTGTCATATTCATTTTTAATATGACACATTTAATCAATATTTCTGGTTTAAGTGTTTATATATGACCAGTGTCTCGGACATCTATTGCAATTATGTTCTTCCACTATATTCATACTGGTTTGAACTGGCATAACTAGATACCTAGACACATTAATCAATAATTAATATTATACGTTGCACATAGAAGTTTGCCCAGGGTTATAAACTGTTTACTTAATTAACATATTTGTACCTTGATGACAAAAACATAGTTTCCAATGGCTTAATATTGCCGCGTTCATGGAGCAGTAGGGACATCATACAAACAAAGGTCCAATTCCTTGGATCATTACTAAAAAGAGATCCATATATTTCACCCTTTACGTGGAATCTCTGTATAGTTTTGTTTTTAATCAACTACAATGAAAATAGAAAGGAATATTGCCCTGTCATCTGCCTTGTAAATCAGCACCATTACTGCAAGTCAAGCGAGCTATATATGAAATCAAGACTACAATTTTTATTCTCTTGAAGTTAAATTATGTCCCCCATGTCTGTCCTCACCTGTTTCTGTATGCTGTCCCCATGTCTGTCCTCACCTGTTTCTGTATGCTGTCCCCATGTCTGTCCTCACCTGTTTCTGTATGCTGTCCCCATGTCTGTCATCACCTGTTTCTGTATGCTGTCCCCATGTCTGTCCTCACCTGTTTCTGTATGCTGTCCCCATGTCTGTCCTCACCTGTTTCTGTATGCTGTCCCCATGTCTGTCATCACCTGTTTCTGTATGCTGTCCCCATGTCTGTCCTCACCTGTTTCTGTATGCTGTCCCCATGTCTGTCCTCACCTGTTTCTGTATGCTGTCTCATGTCTGTCCTCACCTGTTTCTGTATGCTGTCCCCATGTCTATCAACACCTGTTTCTGTATGCTGTCCCCATGTCTTTAATCACCTGTTTCTGTATGCTGTCCCCATGTCTGTCCTCACCTGTTTCTGTATGCTGTCCCCATGTCTGTCCTCACCTGTTTCTGTATGCTGTCTCATGTCTGTCCTCACCTGTTTCTGTATGCTGTCCCCATGTCTGTCCTCACCTGTTTCTGTATGCTGTCCCCATGTCTGTCATCACCTGTTTCTGTATGCTGTCCCCATGTCTATCAACACCTGTTTCTGTATGCTGTCCCCATGTCTTTAATCACCTGTTTCTGTATGCTGTCCCCATGTCTGTCCTCACCTGTTTCTGTATGCTGTCCCCATGTCTTTCATCACCTGTTTCTGTATGCTGTCCCCATGTCTGTCATCACCTGTTTCTGTATGCTGTCCCCATGTCTGTCATCACCTGTTTCTGTATGCTGTCCCCATGTCTTTCATTACCTGTTTCTGTATGCTGTCCCCATGTCTGTCATCACCTGTTTCTGTATGCTGTCCCCATGTCTGTCATCACCTGTTTCTGTATGCTGTCCCCATGTCTTTAATCACCTGTTTCTGTATGCTGTCCCCATGTCTGTCCTCACCTGTTTCTGTATGCTGTCCCCATGTCTTTCATCACCTGTTTCTGTATGCTGTCCCCATGTCTGTCATCACCTGTTTCTGTATGCTGTCCCCATGTCTGTCATCACCTGTTTCTGTATGCTGTCCCCATGTCTTTCATTACCTGTTTCTGTATGCTGTCCCCATGTCTGTCATCACCTGTTTCTGTATGCTGTCCCCATGTCTGTCATCACCTGTTTCTGTATGCTGTCCCCATGTCTATCAACACCTGTTTCTGTATGCTGTCCCCATGTCTGTCCTCACCTGTTTCTGTATGCTGTCCCCATGTCTATCAACACCTGTTTCTGTATGCTGTCCCCATGTCTGTCCTCACCTGTTTCTGTATGCTGTCCCCATGTCTATCAACACCTGTTTCTGTATGCTGTCCCCATGACTGTCCTCACCTGTTTCTGTATGCTGTCCCCATGTCTATCAACACCTGTTTCTGTATGCTGTCCCCATGACTGTCCTCACCTGTTTCTGTATGCTGTCTCATGTCTTTAATCACCTGTTTCTGTAGGCTGTCTCATGCCTATCAACACCTGTTTCTGTATGCTGCCCCCATGTCTGTCATCACCTGTTCCTGTTTGCTGTCTCATGCCTATCAACACCTGTTTCTGTATGCTGTCTCATGTCTATCAACACCTGTTTCTGTATGCCGTCTCATGTCTGTCATCACCTGTTTCTTTATGCTGTCCCCATGTCTGTCATCACCTTTTTCTGTATGCTGTCTCATGCCTATCAACACCTGTTTCTGTATGCTGTCTCATGCCTATCAACAACTGTTTCTTTATGCTGTCCCCATGTCTGTGATCACCTGTTCCTGTTTGCTGTCTCATGCCTATCAACACCTGTTTCTGTTTGCTGTCTATTTTCTATCATCACCTGTTTCTTGTATGATGTACACATGTCCATGCATGAGATTATGTATCTTTGCTTGATATATATGTAGTGAAACCAATGTTATTATTTTAAAGATGCAGTTAGATGTCCTTTGGATGATCTTCATTGTTTCTCTTTGGAGTTGTTAGTTAAGGAACAGATACGGAGTGTAGGTTCTTCCTCGTCATTCTCACGCGGAAGTGTCAAATAGGCCTTGGTTATATATCACTGTTTCTTCAATCTGACTTAGTGCTGTATGTTGTTATACTGTCAAGTGTCATATCTTTAATTAGCATCAGAGAACTTGTTTGAATATTACGATTGACATTT